TTTCTTTCCCAAAACGTGTTTTTATCCCCAGTCGACTGCAGTTGCAACATGGCTTAGATCTTACCAACACCTTTTGGGAAAACAAGGCTTTGCGAAATTGAATGTAAGCGTCCGGAGTCCATTGTATGCATCATCATTTCCAGAGAAGGACCGTGGACATGGTTCATTCCCAGACGTTTCCCAGACGTGGGAATGTACCACGTCCATGGTACTTCTCTGGAAATGATGATGCACACAATGGACTTCTTCATTGTCAAGGGATTCTTCGAACTCCACCTTTTCTTCACGTACTTGGTGTGGCCAAAGATTGTTTTTATTCCCACTTTGTTGGCCATTTGGTATGAAATACCCGTAACTCTTCGCGGACTGCATCAGTCGACATGACGACAAGCACTTAAATCAGCGCCCCTCCTCTTTGCCGGTTGCCAGCACTTCGTCATAATGGCAGATCTGCTCTGTACATGGTCGTCTTGTCTGCTCTTCTCTTCTCCTCAATCTCGAGTGAGACTCGTTTATTCAATTGTCCTCGCGACGATTCGACGCTTTTACGCACTTTTCCGATAATTTATGCATTCGCCTCAGGCACTGGTGACCCAGTGCTGTGGCACCACGGTTTCTGGTGGTGCATCAAGCCGCGTCTTGACATGTTTTGCCGTTATCCTACATTCTCCCGTTCGTCCCCCAGCCCTGGAAATGGACATTGCCGACAATCTGGCTGTCGGTGTCGTTGCACCCCAATTCGAGCTGTAGACCTGATGCAGCGATACGAGATTTCGCCAAGGCAGAGAAGACTGTTGCGTCGCTGTTACGTCAAGACTTCAAAAAATGCTAATTTTGGCCGACCGACCAATATCATGCAGAACCGCTCCTCTGTAAATCGGACACATCGCGATTTCTATCCTCACGCATTGTTTACATGCGAATTGAATATATTTGCAGAAATCATCAGTTGAAATTTTTAGTCAAACTTCTGCCTCTATTTTGCCACAATCACGCACAAATGTCACTTCAATTTTCGCATTCACCCATTGCCGCCAATGTTTACAGGAGAGTTTAGGGGCGTAGCTTCTTCTTAAATGGCTATTTTGCTGTTTGTCCTACAGCACATCTTCTATCTCTATCGCATCTTCCTTTGCATTAGGTCATTCATTTCCTATCCCGTATAACCTACTTCATTTGAGTGTATTTCCAGACGAACTTTACTTCTTGCAGAGGCTATGCGAGCAAGGCCGGTTGATTTTTTCCCAAAATCACATGACTAAGCCCCAGTTCACAACGTCTCGCCTCCCAAAAGTATTTCTCATACAACCAGGACCGCCGTCTCAATCTGACCTTGGCCTCATCAGCAACCCAACGGGATTCGAAGCTATTTCGTGGCACTGTTGATGAGACACTCGAAGACGTTACTTATTTGCTGGATTCGTATTTTGTTTATTCGCAGATGACTAGTACTGTCGAAAGACTTTTACTTTAAAAATAAATTCTATGAGATGTATTCACTTAATTTTGTTTAAGCTGATGAAAGAATAGAAGTTGAATTTCACACGATGATATGAGTAGAGCTGACGTTTCCATTCAATTTTATAGAGCCTTGCTTTACCAAATGTGTTCTCATCGAGGGTGGACGGTAGCTTTGACCTCGCCTAGGCCTTAGCAACACACTCAGCGGGAGTCGAGTGTCCTAGGGCGATTGAAAACCACAATCCTACTCATATTATTGTGGGAAAATTGCACTACCAGCCCTTGATTACATTAGCTGAAGTAGGCTGAACATATCTGATCACTGGTAGTCTCGAAAACTTACTTATCAACGAAAAATAAGAGATGCATTCGATTTTTATAGCAAATATAACTTTGCTGCATCAACAATCCCATCAAATAATGTGATATGGGAAAAAGCCTGGCATTCCTTGAGATTCACATCTATCCCGTGACACAAGGGCACTCGTGGCAATGTGGTCGAGTGGTTAACGTGTCAATCTTCCGTTCTGTACTGTCACGGTTCGACTCCCGCTGGGGGTGTTGCTAAGACTGATGCGAGGTCGAAACTGCAGTCCACCTCAGCCTGGATGAGAACAACTTTTGAGACAGCAAGACAATGGGAAATTCAATGGAAACGTCAACTTTACTCATATCATTGTTGGAAAATTCTTCTGCCAGTCCCTTGTCATCTTAAAATAAATTGGGTGAATACATATCATATTACTGAATGACTGGTAGTCTTGAAACTCTACTTATAAACGAAATATTAAAAAATAATTTTTCCG